CCATGCAGGTCTCTTGGGTGACTGTGGCTGGGAGATTTTTGCTGTTAACTACAACAGCGTCAGATAGCTGCTGTTGGTCATTATGGTCTTGGAAGTTGGTTATGACATTGGCAAGTTGTTGGTCCACTCTTGATCTTTCCTCTGTAATGTTGGTAGTAAGTAGGGTGACTTGGTCTTTTAAAGTGTTGATGGTGTCTAGGGACCGGGTGTGGGTGTTGCTTTGTTGTTCTAGAGTGTCTAGTTTATGTTCTAGAGCAGTGATCTTGTTGAGGTAATCTGCATTGCTAGCCTTTAGTTCCTGCATTTCTTGAGTTAGCTTGGTGATCGTTTGGTTCGGAATCATAAGGAGTTTAGCTATTTCTGGGTCGGTGATCATACTTCTTGTTATGAGAAGGCTGGGTCATAATAGCCTTCACATTTTCTGGGATAGTGATGGGAGTGATCCCATTAGCCATTTAAAACCTGAGAGCAGAGTTGAATGTCACCATCTGCTATGTCTTTGGCCATCATGTACATTAGTTGTGCTCTAGTCATATCCCCGGCTGTGGATACCTGAGACATAGATGATACTGAACCTTGTTGTTGCGTTTGTGTATGGTGTAAGTGAGGGTTAGATTGGGGCGCTCCTAGAGGGGCAGAATTCCAAACATTGGAACCATTGGTAGAGACCTGAGGAGTCCCACTTGATCCAGGCAGAGCTGGGAAGGAAGTTTGGGACATCGTTGGCGGTGCCTGGGGAGTGGTCTTCTTAGCAGTGGACAGTTTCTTGGCTTCAAGAATTGTCTGCATTTCCTTTTTCCTTTCAGGACAAATGGCAGAAACAGCATGATGTTTTCCATTGCAGAGGACACATTTAGGTGTATTTTTGTTGGTACAATCTCTATACGAATGTTGGCCAGAGCAAATGCTACAAATCTGCCCTTGAGTACTGCATTTATTGTTGTTATGACCAAAGGCATAACACTTGAAACATTGTGTCACACTGACAAATCGTTCAAGGGAGATTTGGTCAGGTGTACATCTGGTGCCAAAACATTTGAATCCATGTTGACACACAAGTTTGGCCTCCTCAGGTGTCTCAAGTATTAGCTTTAAGGTCACCTTGTTGTTGGTAGGATTAGAGAATTTATGTGCTTCTACAGCCCTAAAGTCAGAATTCTCGGTATTAATGTCGTCAACAATTTCATTCACTGTGCTATGTTTCATGAAACTGTTGATTCTGGCCACAAACACAGTCCTCTGAGCTTGATAGCTATCAGGTGCAACTGGGGTAACACCAGAAGTCTTCAGTTTATCCAAGACATCATGCTTCAGAAGTTGAAGTAACTCTTCTTCCGAAGAGAGGAGAAGTACTGCTCCAGCGTGGGTTTGAAAAACATCCACTGGAGCAACAGTTGAGTTGGAGCAAATACATGTGAGAATTTCTCTCATTGTCATTTGATTGCCGTCAATACGTAATCTTACACGTATCCTCGCCATGATGTTGAGGAAGGAACACCTGGCAGAGGAGTTTCTTAACAAAAAGGGAACTTTCCTTGATGTTAAACTAGCATCCTATTACAGCTGACTTATGAAGGTCAGCCCCTAAGATAGCCTACCCTCGAGTAGTGAGGGGAAAGGGCCCAAGGCAAAGATCGGCTGGATTTTAAAAAACCACACGGGCTACCAGATGGTCAAAATGCCTTGTGTTAACTCGCCAAAGCGAAGTTGCCGAAAAAGAAGAAGATAGGACAGTCAGAAGGATAGCAATGTATGTAGTGTGTTAAGTGTGTGGGCCAGTGTTGATGTATGGGTGAGGGTAGGATGGGGATGAGAGGGGTGAACAAGCAAGCAAGTCACTGCCTTACCCTCTTGATGGGATGGGGCTCGAAGTGACTGCAAGCAAGTTTCCTCTCAGCTCTGGTGAAGAATTACTCAGGATAACACAAGAAAATTCCCGAGCAACAGTGTTCCGAGTTGCTCAGCTGAAGAGCAGGAACGACGACGTGTTCTCTCCACGGTGGCTGGGCTGCTTCTGTCATTAAAATCTTTATATTCGATTACATGCCTGAATTAGATGTCGGGGAGCACTGTTCTCGCGGCCAGGTCCCAGACCAGGCTTAAGGATCTGAAGGAACGTGTTGTACAGGCGAAACATTTCAGCAGTAAAGATAACCAAGGCCCCTAGTATGCACAGCATTTCGAGAAAACTTAAAATGTAGGCCTATATATACGTATACGCATTTCTTCTGCGCTGTATGACCCCTGTAGGTTGAGCTCTGGTGGCTAACGCTCTCGCTTCACACGGCTAGGGCCTGGGTTCGATTCCCAGCCACAGTAGAAACATTGGGCGTGTTTCTTTACACGTGCTGTCTATGTTCTCCATCAGTAAAATGGGCACCTGGGTGTTAGTCGACTGGTGTGGGTCGCATCCTGGGATGTCAGCCACAGCACCGTGTCTTCCTTTGCAGATGACACCCGAATCTGCATGACAGTGTCTTCCATTGCAGACACTGCAAGGCTCCAGGCGGACATCAACCAAATCTTTCAGTGGGCTGCAGAAAACAATATGAAGTTCAACGATGAGAAATTTCAATTACTCAGATATGGTAAACATGAGGAAATTAAATCTTCATCAGAGTACAAAACAAATTCTGGCCACAAAATAGAGCGAAACACCAACGTCAAAGACCTGGGAGTGATTATGTCGGAGGATCTCACCTTCAAGGACCATAACATTGTATCAATCGCATCTGCTAGAAAAATGACAGGATGGATAATGAGAACCTTCAAAAACTAGGGAGGCCAAGCCCATGATGACACTCTTCAGGTCACTTGTTCTATCTAGGCTGGATATTGCTGCACTCTAACAGCACCTTTCAAGGCAGGTGAAATTGCCGACCTAGAAAATGTACAGAGAACTTTCACGGCGCGCATAACGGAGATAAAACACCTCAATTACTGGGAGCGCTTTGAGGTTTCTAAACCTGTATTCCCTGGAACGCAGGAGGGAGAGATACATGATTATATACACCTGGAAAATCCTAGAGGGACTAGTACCGAACTTGCACACGAAAATCACTCACTACGAAAGCAAAAGACTTGGCAGACGATGCACCATCCCCCCAATGAAAAGCAGGGGTGTCACTAGCACGTTAAGAGACCATACAATAAGTGTCAGGGGACCGAGACTGTTCAACTGCCTCCCAGCACACATAAGGGGGATTACCAACAGACCCCTGGCAGTCTTCAAGCTGGCACTGGACAAGCACCTAAAGTCAGTTCCTGATCAGCCGGGCTGTGGCTCGTACGTTGGTTTGCGTGCAGCCAGCAGCAACAGCCTGGTTGATCAGGCGCTGATCCACCAGGAGGCCTGGTCACAGACCGGGCCGCGGGGGCGTTGACCCCCGAAACTCTCTCCAGGTAAACTCCAGGTAAACACTGACCTAATTTGCCCGAAATGCTGAGCATAACAAGGGGCTTTCTATATAGTAGCATGTCATTGATGTCAGCTAGGTCTGTATACCATGTACATGTACTTGTAGTAAAATGAAGATATTATTATTATTATTATTATATGTATTTCTCAGAATATATATGCACATACATTTCTTTCATCTTTATATGGGTATTACAGTATTCCTGATAGCCTGTTGTTGTTGACTCAGGTTGGTGGTGTGAGGAGGGTTAGTTGTGACGCCTGAGAGGCTAGTTTATTTGGCATCCGTCCTGATCCTGTTGAAGTAAGTAGGTTTATTCAGGTACAGGTACACATAAATACAGTTACATAAATTATCATACATAGCAGCATATGTATAGATTACCTAAGATAACTCAAAAAAAGTCAAAGTGATTTATATCCATTGAGGTCATGTGAGATGTAGCAAAAAAAAAAAAAAAAAAAAAAAAAAACATTCCAAAGGTCACAGTATGCCTATGAGACTCCAGTGGGCATTATTACATCAATGAAGTAATTCTAAGTCATTTCATACATTACATTTACTTCATAGAGCTAACTAAAATTTGCGTTATTGTACTTAAATAAACTTACCATTAGTAAACATTGCTTATAATTGCGTTGCAGTTTAATCATTAAGATCATTTCATTCATCTAGCCAGCAACAAAAAGTGAATACAGTCTCAAGATTTCAGATATCTTATCATTAGCAATGAAGTGTGGAATATCCTGTAGGGTTTCGTGTCTGACTTTGCCGGAGTTTAGGCAAGGAGGTTCACCTGACATAATTAACAACTTATTAGTTATCCCGAAGAGGGACCTTCACGTAGTTGCCTGTTTATTTTTATTTATTTACATTCAACTTTTCGCTTTTATTTCGCTCATAATTCACGAAGGCATCATCTGATCAGCTTCAAATTTTCACTGATTATGTATGGTAACTAGGGCCAGGTTCTTGGAACATTTAGCATGTATAGGTGCCCTGTAGCCAACGTTGTTGAACTCATTCCCAGCATCCTGGAATGGCTCAGATAACTTTCAAAACCCTCAGTGGTGTAACTTAAAACATTGCACAGTTCCTGATGACGCACTGAGAAGTGTGAAAGTACTTGAGCTTAAGATTTCCACCCCCCGTGGCTTGTCTTGCATATCAGCATATGTGCAGATTACCTAGGATAACACAAACAGGTCAGACAAAGTGACTTATTTCCAATGAGGTCCTTGAGTACATGGGCCTGGAGTTATGAAATACAGGGATATCTTCCTCGTATCGCGCAGCGACCGAAATGCATCTAGCTGTTCTCATTTCTTTTTCAGAAGGAGCTTTCCTTTATGTTCCCGCCCATTTTTGGGCACTATACTTGCTGGACTTCTGGGAAGTAGGGCTCCACTCCAGAGCAGTAAGCTTTGGTGGCCCCTAACTATCCCTAACATCAACAATAACATTATTTACATTTCAAGGTGTTATTTTATCACTTTAATTCTTTTGATCTCTGCAGTCTTGTGAGGCTTCGTCATATATTAGCAAATATAGCGATGTCAACTGCTGTTTCTAGAGACTGAAGTGTTGGTACTTAGGCTTTTGACTGCCAGTTAAAAAGTGTCTTAGTTTTTGACGTGCTGCAAAGGTTTTTTTTTTTCAAGTAATATGGCAATATTGGTTGTATTGCCTTGCTTGTTTGGTAAAATCTTATGCCTTAAGTGGTAAATTTAATGTAGGTTATATTGTATACAACGTACACATTTCGCCATAGAATCAGTGGAGTACTGCAGTAGGCCTATTGACTCATCCTCCAACTTTCAACAGGAAGCACGGGAATGCTGTGGAGAAGACACAAACAATATCCAGTAGTTACTGTAGTGGACCTGAGGAAAACAAATTATGCAAAATCACAATCACCAGATATGATTATTTACCAAGTTGACCAATTTAAGCAAAAGTCTCCAGGTCCTGATGCGGCAGTTTTTCATGGGTTCTTAAAGAATTTTAAATGGAGTTTAGTGAGATCCTAACTAGTCTTTTCGTTATGTCTGCAGACGTGAGTTGTGCCTAATATGTGGAAAGCTAATGTGATCCCTATCTACAAAATGGGTTACCTGGAGGTTATTTCAGGGATCAACGCCCCCGCGGCCCGGTCCATGACCAGGCCTCCCGATGGATCATGGCCTGATCAACTAGGCTGTTACTGCTGGCCGCACGCAGTCCAACGCACGAGCCACAGCCCGGCTGATCCGTCACTGACTTTAGGTATCTGTCCAGCTCTCTCTTGAAGGCAGCCAGGGGTTTATTGGCAATTCCCCTAATGCTTGATGGGAGGCTGTTGAACAGTCTTGGGCCCCAGACACTTATGGTGTTTTCCCTTAGTGTACCAATGGCGCCCCTACTTTTAATTGAGGGTATTTTGCATCGCCTGCCCAGTCTTTTACTTTCATAGGGAGTGATTTCTGTGTGCAGATTTGGGACCATTCCTTCCAGGATTTTCCAAGTGTAGATTATGATATATCTCTCCCTCCTGCGTTCCAATGAGTACAAGTCAAGTGCTTCCAAGCGTTCTCAGTAGTTAAGGTGCTTGACAGAACTTATACATGCAGTAAAGGATTTCTGTACACACTAGATCTGCAATTTCACCTGCTTTGAATGGAGATGTTAATGTACAGCAGTATTCCAGCCTAGAGAGAACAAGTGATTTGAAAAGGATCATCATTGGCTTGACATCTCTCGTTTTGAATATTCTCATTATCCATCCTATCATTTTCTTTGCACGTGCGATCGTGACACTGTTGTGATCCTTGACAGTGAGATCCTCAGACATTACTACTCCCAGGTCCCTTACATTATTTTTCCGCTCTATTGTATGGCCAGAGTCTGTAGTATACTCTGTTCTAGTTATTATCTCCTCCAGTTTTCCATAACAGAGTAGTTGGAATTTGTCCTCATTGAACATCATATTGTTTACCGTTGCCCACTGGAAAACTTTGTTTATATCTTCTTGGAGGTTAACCGTGTCCTCAGCAGATGACAGCCTCATGCAGATCCTAGTATCATCCGCAAAGGATGATACAGTGCTGTGATGTATATCTCTGTCTATGTCTGATATGAGGATGAGGAATAAGATGGGGGTGAGTACTGTGTCTTGTGGAACAGAGCTCTTCACTATGGCAGCCTCTGATTTAACTCCGTTGACCACTACTCTTTGTGTTCGATTTGTTAGGAAGTTGAAAATCCATCTCCCCACTTTCCCAGTTATTCCTTTAGCACGTATTTTATGGGCTATTACGCCATGATCACATTTGTCAAATGCTTTTGCAAAGTCTGTGTATATTACATCTGCATTCTGATTTTCTTCCAGTGCATCCAAGGCCATATCATAGTGATCCAATAGTTGTGAGAGGCAGGAGCGACCTGCACTGAACCCATGTTGCCCTGGATTGTGCAGATTTTGGGAATCCAGGTGATTTGCAATCCTGCTTTTTAGCTCCCAAATTACTTCTCAATTAGCCTGGCATCGATAATGGGAAATTATTAGAATTCCTAATACTAGATATAATTCTAAGCCACCTAGATGAGTGTAATTTGATAGATGAGTATCAACATGATTCACAAGGGGCTGATCGTGCCTGACATTTACTGACTTTCTTTAGTAAAGCATTTGAGACAGTGGACCATGATAGGTTTTACTGTTGTCTACCTGGATTTTAGTAAGGCTTTTGATAGAGTTCCACACAAAAGACTTTAAAATGTGGCAATACATGGTATAAGGAAAATTTCCTCTCATGAGTAGAGGTATGTCTGACAAATAGGCATCAAAGAGTATGCATTAATGGAATAAATTCATAGTGGGAGTTATGAGGCAGAAATCTGAAGTGCCTTAGTATGTGTAGTAAGGTTAACAGATTACTCAGAATTATATCAGATATAAGTAACAAGAGAGTGTGTGTGTGTGTGAATGTGTGTGAATGTGTGTGTGAGTGTGTGAATGTGTGTGTGAGTGTGTGTGTGTGTGTGTGTGTGTGTGTGTGTGTGTGTGTGTGTGTGTGTGTACTCACCTATTTGTGGTTGCAGGGGTCGAGTCACAGCTCCTGGCCCCGCCTCTTCGCTGATTGCTACTAGGTCCTCTCTCTCCCTGCCCCATGAGCTCTATCATACCTCGCCTTAAAACTATGTATGGTTCCCGCCTCCACTAGTCACTACTTCCACGGCCTGACTACTCTATGACTGAAGAAATACTTCCTAACATCCCTTTGATTCATCTGAGTCTTCAACTTCCAATTGTGACCTCTTGTGTCTGTGTCCCTTCTCTGGAACATCTCGTCTTTGTCCACCTTGTCTATTCCGCGCAGTATTTTATATGTCGTTATCATGTCTCCCCTGACCCTCCTGTCCTCCAGTGTCGTCAGGCCGATTTCCCTCAACCTTTCTTCGTAGGACAATCCCCGTAGCTCTGGGACTAGTCTTGTTGCAAACCTTTGCACTTTCTCTAATTTCTTGACATGCTTGACTAGGTGTGGATTCCAAACTGGTGCTGCATACTCCAGTATGGGCCTGACGTAAATAGTATACAGAGTCTTAAACGAATCCTTACTGAGGTATCGGAACGCTATCCATAGGTTTGCCAGGCGCCCGTATGCTGCAGCAGTTATCTGCTGTTAGTTAGTTAGTGTGTGTGTGTGTGTGTGTTAGTTACCATTTTGTCCTAGGCACATGTCGATTAGACACTAGGCCTGTTGTATATGAGTACGTGTGTGTGTGTGTGTGTACTCACCTATTTGTACTCACCTATTTGTGGTTGCAGGGGTCGAGTCATAGCTCCTGGCCCCGCCTCTTCACTGATTGCTACTAGGTCCTCTCTCTCCCTGCTCCATGAGCTTTATCGCACCTCGCCTTAAAACTATGTATGGTTCCTGCCTCCACTACTTCACTTTCTAGACTATTCCACGACTTGACTACTCTATGACTGAAGAAATACTTCCTAACATCCCTTCGATTCATCTGAGTCTTCAACTTCCAATTGTGACCTCTTGTGTCTGTGTCCCATCTCTGGAACATCCTGTCTTTGTCCACCTTGTCTATTCCGCGCAGTATTTTATATGTCGTTATCATGTCTCCCCTGACCCTCCTGGCCTCCAGTGTCGTCAGGCCGATTGTGTGTGTGTGTGTGTGTGTGTGTGTGTGTGTGTGTGTGTGTGTGTGTGTGTGTGTGAGTGTGTGTGTGTATGTGTATGTGTATGTGTGTGTTGTACTCACCTAGTTGAGGTTGCAGGGGACGAGTCCAAACTCCTGGCCCCGCCTCTTCACTGGTCGCTATTAGGTCACTCTCCCTGTACCGTGAGCTTTATCGTACCTCTGCTTAAAGCTATGTATGGATCCTGCCTCCACTACATCACTTCCCAAACTATTCCACTTCCTGACTAGTCTGTGGCTGAAGAAATACTTCCTAACATCCTTGTGGTTCATCTGTGTCTTCAACTGTGTCCACTTGTTGCTGTGTCCAATCTCTGGAACATCCTGTCTTTGTCTACCGTGTCAATTCCTCAGTATTTTGTATGTCGTTATCATGTTTCCCCTATCTCTCCTATCCTCCAGTGTCATCAGGTTGATTTCCCTTAACCTCTCCTCGTAGGACATACCTCTTAGCTCTGGGACTAGTCTTGTTGCAAACCTTTGCACTTTCTCTAGTTTCTGTACCTGCTTGGCTAGGTGTGGGTTCCAAACTGGTGCCGCATACTCCAATATAGGCCTAACATACACGGTGTACAGGGTCCTGAACGATTCCTTAATAAGATGTCGGAATGCTGTTCTGAGGTTTGCTAGGTGCCCATATGCTGCAGCCGTTATTTAGTTGATGTGCGCTTCAGGAGACGTTCCTGGTTTCATACTCACCCCAAGATCTTTTTCCTTGAGTGAGGTTTGTAGTCTCTGGCCCCCCTAGACTGTACTCCGTCTGCGGTCTTCTTTGCCCTTCCCCAATCTTCATGACTTTGCTCTTGGTGGAATTGAACTCCAGGAGCCAATTGCTGGACCAGGTCTGCAGCCTGTCCAGATCCCTTTGTAGTTCTGCCTGGTCTTTGATCGAATGAATTGTTCTCATCAACTTCACGTCGTCTGCAAACAGGGACACCTCGGAGTCTATTCCTCCCATCATGTTCACAAATACCAGAAACAGCACTGGTCCTAGGACTGACCCCTGTGGGACCCCGCTGGTCACAGGTGCTCGCTCTGACACCTCGCCATGTACCATGACTCGCTGCTGTCTTCCTGACAAGTATTCCCTGAATCCATTGTAGTGCCTTTCCAGTTAATCCCTGCCTTGGTCCTCTAGTTTTGCACTAATCTCTTGTGTGGAACTTGTGTTCATGCCTTCTTACAGTCAAAAAATTGCAATCCACCACCCCTCTCTCTCTTGTTCTTATTGCTGTCACCATGTCATTAGATACTACAGTAGGGTTGTGACAGGTTCCTGTCCTGGAAATCCATGTTGGTGCTGTTGATGAGATCATTCCTTTCTAGGTGTTCCACCACTCTTCTGATAATCTTCTCCATGACTTTGCATACTATACATGTCAGTGACACTGGTCTGTAGTTTAGTGCTTCATGTCTGTCTCCTTTTTTAAAGATTGGGGACTACATTTGCTGTCTTCCATGCCTCAGGTAATCTCCCTGTTTCGATATTTGCATGTGTGTGTGTGTATTCACCTAGTGTGTGTGTGTGTGTGGTGTGTGTGTGTGTGTGTGTACTCACCTATTTGTACTCACCTATTTGTGGTTGCAGGGGTCAAGTCATAGCTCCTGGCCCCACCTCTTCACTGATTGCTACTAGGTCCTCTCTCTCCCTGCTCCATGAGCTTTATCAAACCTCGCCTTAAAACTACGTATGGTTCCCGCCTCCACTACGTCACTTTCTAGGCTATTCCACGGCCTGACTACTCTATGACTGAAGAAATACTTCCCAACATCCCTTTGATTCATCTGAGTCTTCAACTTCCAATTGTGACCTCTTGTTTCTGTGTCCCATCTCTGGAACATCCTGTCTTTGTCCACCTTGTCTATTCCTCGCAGTATTTTATGTCGTTATCATGTCTCCCCTGACCCTCCTGTCCTCCAGTGTCGTCAGGCCGACACTGCGTGTGTGTGTGTGTGTGTGTGTGTGTGTGTGTGTGTGTGTGTGTGTGTGTGTGTGTGTGTGTGTGTGTGTGTGCGTGCGTGCGTGCGTGCGTGCGCACGTACGTACGTACTATATATATATACAGTGGACCCCCGGTTAACGATATTTTTTCACTCGAGAAGTATGTTCAGGTGCCAGTACTGACCGAATTTGTTCCCATAAGAAATATTGTGAAGTAGATTAGTCCATTTCAGACCCCCAAACATACATGTACAAATGCACTTACATAAATACACTTACATAATTGGTCACATTCGGAGGTAATCGTTATGCGGGGGTCCACTGTATATATAGTTCTTGTTCGTTTTATTTCCGCTTATCTCCATTGGGAAGTGGAACAGAATTCTTCCTCCATAAGCCATGCGTGTCATAAGAAGCGACTAAAATGCTGGGAGCAAGGGGCTAGTAACCCCTTCTCCTGTATATAGTATTAAATTTAAAAAGAGAAACTTGCATTTTTCTTTTTGAGCCACCCTGCCTTGGTGGGATATGGCCAGTTTGTTGAAAGAAGAACTTTTAGTTTTGGTTTTGTTACTTATATCCAATACCACACTGTATATAGCCCTAATATTTTTCTCACTTAATTTCACAAACTCTGTGTCTGTTGTTTTAATATAATAAATATATAATTATATTACAGTATATCATTATTATTTTATGATTATTATTATTATTACAGTATAGTTGAGATCATACTTATGGCATATTTAATCACTAACCCGTAAACGGTCCAAATGTATATATACGTTTTTTCAACATTTGAAAGTATGTAAAAAAAGTAGGTCTTCTTTTTGTTTTTTTACATTTGAAAATGTGTAAAAAAACTTTGATCTACTTTTTTTTGTTATATTTGAAAATATGTAAAAAAAATGTAGATCTACTTTTGTAGCACTACACATGTGAATGTAGATCTGCTTGGACCATTTACGGGTTAATTATCATTATCTATGTGGAGGTTTTTAAATACTAATTTGTTATGATTCAGTACCATACAAGGAATTTTATTTTTTCTACAGAAAACTGTATCATTCTGAATTGAGTATGGGATGCCGGACACATGATACATAAAAAGAAAGAGAGAAACTTTTGCTACACAAAATGAGAAAAGAGATCCTCCTATGGGGAGTGGTATTACTAACAGGAAGAGGAGCCAGTTTAGAGAAAACAACTCGGTAGCTGTCAGTTATCAAAATGGAAGATTCCCACCTTGATGCTGTTGAGGCAGAGGTGGTTATCTTGAAGGTAACCCTCTCACAAATGTTTTGTTTTGTTAATCTAACTTTTATAACCATAAAATGTGGATGGATATGTGTACTGCTCAAATGTGATAGGATGTGTGTACTACACTATCCCCCTTTCCCTCATACCCTCCCTTCCATTCTTAAAAAATACTGCATACAGTAATGGTACAGAATGTACCATAATGTTTTCTAAATATTCATCTCAAATTTATGGGTAGTTGGGAATCATTCCATCAACAGTATTGTGACTTATTCTTCTGTATAAACATATTACATATAAAACCTTTATACTATTATATAGATAATATTGTGTGACAAATTGTAGATACTATGGATGGTGTTGGGGAGAAATAGGAAGTTGTCATGTAAAATAAAATTCACAATACCGTGATGGAATAGTTCACAAATAGCCCACACTTAGAGAGGAAACTTTATGAGATGTTTTTATCTATTATAGGCCAGTATGAAGTTACGTAACTGGATAATAGTGCAGGACGGATCAAAATTTCATCTTAGTTTTTCTATGTATGTGCTATTGTGAATCAGTTATGTTTTCCTATGTCCTTGTTGGTTATGCTGTGGTAGGCATGAGTTTTGCTTCTCTATCAGAATTTGTTTTGTCATAGAACTGGTTTCCAGTTCTGTTAACTTGTAGTTGCACTTGGTAACAACCTAGCTGACAGATAATAAAAAAAGAACCCTGGCCTTAAGTCACGCTGCAAAGAGGTCTGAAAATTGTCTATAGGTGATCTACTGGTTTAAGGCTATTCAGAGATATATATTATTAATAATGGTTGGGAAAGATTGATTATGAGTGATAATACGAGAGTATTTTAGATATGGTTTTGTGTACAAAAAGTAGTTAATGTTACAGATGAATAACTAATAGATAACTTGATTTCAGAGTGCATACAATGAACAATTTTTTGATTTGAGAAAAAATGATCCATGGAAAGTATCTCGACCACCGGAGGTACAAATCATTCTTGGCCCCAACCATTCTGAGGGAGGCAGACTTCACTCGCATGTCAATGTTGTCTTGAAAATAAAAACATCTGAGAAATATCCACATAAGTAAGCCTGTCTTTCATAAATGTTTTTTTTCCAACAATAAGTATTGTGTGTACAGTAGTATAATGATAGCAAGTAGGTCATATTGTTTTAGTATAATGTATTTTATATTATACAGTACTTTACTGTATTCAAGTTTTTTGGGTGAATTGCATAGAAAACTGGATAATAATAATAATAATAATAATAATAATAATAATAATAATAATAATAATAATAATAATAATATGTCAACAAATGAGGTGAACCACAGAATAAATGAGGAGAAAAAAGGTGGGCAGTGGGCTAAGGTATCTGTGGAAAGAAAGAAGTTTATATATGGAGGCAAATAAAGGAATGTACCAAAGTATAGTGGTATCAACACTTACATATGGATGTGAGGCAAGTTTTTAATGTTGCAGCAATAAGGAGGCTAGAGGCAGTGGAGATCATATTGGAAAGCAATAAATATCATAGAGATAATTCAGAGCATAGAAGTTAAAAGGCAATGTGGGGTGACTAAGGCAAGTGGTTTGGCATGTAGAGAGGATAGACAGGAATTGGCAAAGAGGGTGTATAAATCTGGGATGGAAGATAGAAGGAAAAGGGGTCATCCCAGGAGAGTTGGAGGGAGAGGGTACAAGAGGCTTTGAGTCTTAGGGGCTTGAGCATTCACCCGGCTTGTGTGAGTGTGTTAGAAAGGAGTGAATGGAGATAAGCGGATTTTAATGGATGTGCTGTTGTAGTGTGAGCAGGGTAATTTTTATGAAGGGATTCAAGGTAAATCAGTTAGCTGGTCTTGAGTCCTAGAGTTGGGAGAGGCATTGACTACACTCTGAAGAATGGGTGGGGATGTTGCAACCAGAGGGGTAATCTGATCATGATGTCAGCACACTTGTAAAGACAGCAATTGAATGTTGATGAATTTGTTTTCATCTTTGAATCACCCTACCTTAGCGGGAGATGGGCACTGAATTAAAAAAACAATAATAATACTTAGGAATTTTGTTATTTTTGAGTGCCTGTTCATCCAAGAAATTCACAAACACTCATGCATCAAGGTTCATTATATTTAAAACTTCTGAAGAATTACATATGGTGCCCTGTGGCCTGGTGGCAAAAGCTCTCACCTCACACGGTGAGAGTCCGGGTTCAATTTCCAGCAAAGGGGGTGGAAACATTGGGTGTATTTCCTTACACCAGTTGTCCATGTTCACCCATCAGTAATAATGGGTGCCTGGGTGTTAGTCAACTGGTGCAGGTTGCATCCTGACCTAACTTGCCTGAAATACTCTGCATAACAAGCAGCTTTCTATGTAGTAGTACATATGTCATTGATGTCAGCTAGGCCTGTATACTTTGCACATGTACTTGTAGAAATAAAGATATTGTTATTATGAGGTACATTGCATGTTATCAGTCCAGAGATAATGTTCCTTGATGCAGGTTCCTTTACTGTAGATAAACCATGAAACCTGGAACTGTGAGGAAAACTGTTTATATTGTTCATACTGTATTTTTTTTTTTTAAATATTTTTTATCTTGTATGATGGTACTGTATGTCTTTTGCATATTGTTCCCAGGGTGACTTTATACAGTGGACCCCCGCATAACGATGGCATCACATAGCGATTTTTCCGCATACCGATTACTTTTATCGCAAAATTTTTGCCGCGCATACCGATTAAAAACCCGCTCACCGATTTTCGTCCGAGACGCGTCCAATGTGCCCTCAGCCAGCCTCACATGTGCCGCCCGTCCCATTGTTTACCAGCCAGCCTCCGCGGTAACATCCAAGCATACACTCGGAATATTTCGTTATTATTACAGTATTTTCGGTGCTGTTTTCTGGAAAATAAGTGGACCATGGGCCCCAAGAAAGCTTCTAGTGCCAACCCTACACCTCAAAGGTAAGAATTACTATAGAAATGAAGAAAGAGATAATTGATAAGTATGAAAGTGGAGTGCGTATAGCCGACCTAGTCAAGCTGTACAAGAAACCCCAATCAACCATCGCTACTATTGTGGGCACCAGAAAGACAATCAAGGAAGCTGTTCTTGCCAAAGGTTCAACTGTGTTTTCGAAACAAAGATCGCAAGTGATGGAAGATGTTGAGAGACTCTTATTGGTGTGGATAAATGAAAAACAGCTAGCAGGAGATAGCATCTCTCAAGCGATCATATGTGAAAGGCTAGGAAGTTGCATGAGGATTTAATTAAAAAATGCCTGCAACTAGTGATGATGTGAGTGAATTTAAGGCCAGCAAAGGTTGGTTGAGAGATTTAAGAAGCGTTAGTGGCATCCATAGTGTGATAAGGCATGGTGAGGCTGCCAGTTCGGACCACAAAGCGGCTGAAAAATATGTGCAGGAATTCAAGGAGTACATAGAAACTGAAGGACTGAAACTGAACAAGTGTTTAATTGTGATGAAACAGGCCTGTTCTGGAAGAAATGCCAAGCAGGACCTACATTACTCAGGAGAAAAGGCACTCCCAGGACATAAGCTATGAAAGACAGGCTTACTTTGTTGATGTGTGCCAATGCTAGTGTGATTGCAAAGTTAAGCCTTTATTAGTGTATCACTCTGAAACTCCCAGAGCGTTCAGGCAAAAGAATGTCCTCAAGGATAATTTGTGTGTGCTGTGGAGGGCAAACAGTAAGGCATGGGTCACTAGGGAATTTTTCTATAACTGGTTACACCATGCATTTGCCCCCAATGTGAAAAAATTACCTAACTGAAAAGAAATTAGACCTAAGTGCCTCCTGGTGTTAGACAATGCCCTGGGTCATCCTACAGACGTGGCAGAGCGGACTTTATGGGGACATGAGCTTCATTAAGGTGAAGTTTTTGCCTCCTAATACCACGCCTCTCCTGCAGCCCATGGACCAGCAGGTTATTTCCAACTTCAAGAAACTGTACACAAAAGCTCTGTTTGAAAGGTGCTTTGTAATGACCTCAGAAACTCAACTGACTCTAAGAGAGTTTTGGAGAGATCACTTTAATATCCTCAATTGTGTAAACCTTATAGGTAAGGCTTGGGAGGAAGTGACTAAGAGGACCTTGAACTCTGCTTGGAAGAAACTGTGGCCAGAATGTGTAGACAAAAGGGATTTTGAAGGGTTTGAGGCTAACCCTGAGAATCCTGTGCCAGTTGAGGAATCCATTGTGGCATTGGGAAAGTCCTTGGGGTTGGAGGTTAGTGGGGAGGATGTGGAAGAGTTGGTGGAGGAGGACAATGAAGAACTAACCACTGATGAGCTGATAGATCAACTTCAAGAGCAAGAGGCCAGACCTGGGGAAACTGGTTCAGAGGAGGGGAGAGAGAAATTGAAGAAGTTGCCTACTACAAAGATAAAGGAAATCTGTGCTAAGTGGCTTGAAGTGCAAATCTTCATGGATGAAAATCACCCTCACACAGCTATTGCAAGCCGTGCTGGTGATTATTACACTGACAATGTTGTGAAACACTTTAGGCAAGTCATAAAGAACGAGGGTACAGGCCACTATGGACAGATATCTTGTGCGAAAGAAGTCCAGTGACTCTGAAGCTGGCCCTAGTGGCATTAAAAAAAGAAGGGAAGTACCCCAGAAAAGGACTTACTACCTCAAGTCCTAATGGAAGGGGATTCCCCTTCTAAACAGTAAGAAGATAATGCTCTCCCCTCCTCCCATCCCATCAATCATCACCAGATCTTCAATGAAAGTAAGTGTCATGTAATTGTGCATGCCTTTTTCAGTTTGTGTGTATTAAAATTAACATTTCATGTGGTAAAAAAAATTTTTTTTCATACTTTTGGGCGTCTTGCACGGATTAATTTTATTTCCATTATTTCTTATGGGGAAAATTCATTCGCATAACGATTATTTCGCATAACAATTATCCCTCTTGCACGGATTAAAATCGTTAACCGGGGGTCCACTGTACTGAGTAAATGAAAAAGACTTTAGTGCTTAAATAACTCAATTTATCCAAACAGGTTTTGTGATCTGGTTCTTTCTTTCTTTCTTCTGTTATTGTACCACTTGAAGCCTTTGTCTTGTGTATTCCTTGCTCCACTTAAAAAATGTCAGTGAGGTTCTCTTGATGCAAGGAATTGGATCTGTCTTCCCCATCCTTGGATTAGATCTGACTGCCTCCCTTCTCCATGTGCTCTATAACGCCTATAGATTTAACATCTATCTAACACGGTCACACATGCGTGAGCATGTTAGATAGGAGCAAGTGGAGATGAATGGTTTTTATGATATGACATGCTGTTGGAGTGTTAGCAGGGTAACATTTATGAAACTGGCAAGCTGGACTTGAGTCCTGGAGGTGAGAAGCACAGTGCCTGCACTCTTAAGGAGGGGTGTTGATGTTGCAGTCTGTTTTTAACTGTAGTGTAGGTGCACCTCTGGCATGACAGTGATGGAGTGAATCATGATGATGAAAGTGTCTCTTCTTTTTTGGGTCACCCTGCCTTGGTGGGAAATGGCTGATGTGTTAATATAAAGAAAAATAATAGTGGTAAGTTATTAAATGCTGTAAAGAGTTTTTATGAAGATAGTGAGGCTCAGGTTAGAGTGTGTAGAAGAGAGGGAGACTACTTCCCGGTAAAAGTAGGTCTTAGACAGGGATGTGTAATGTCACCATGGTTGTTTAATATATTTATAGATGGGGTTGTAAAAGAAGTAAATGCTAGGGCATTCGGGAGAGGGGTGGGATTAAATTATGGGGAATCAAATGTAAAATGGGAATTGACACAGTTGCTTTTTGCTGATGATATTGTGCTTATGGGAGATTCTAAAGAAAAATTGCAAAGGTTAGTGGACGAGTTTGGGAGTGTGTGTAAAGGTGGAAAGTTGAAAGTGAACATAGAAAAGAGTAAGGTGATGAGGGTATCAAATGATTTAGATAAAGAAAAATTGGATATCAAATTGGGGAAGAGGTGCATGGAAGAAGTGAATGTTTTCAGATACTTGGGAGGTTGACGTGTCAGTGGATGGATATATGAAGGATGAGGTTAATCATAAAATTGATGA